CCATGAAGGATCCTTGAAATCATCGAAATTTCTATAGTTACCGTGTTGGATATGAGGTAGAGCCTAAAAACAGAGCTGCTCGGCCCTCACAGTGAATTTTCGTACGTGTTTTCAAAAGGTTTCATTCGCGGGCTCTGTCTTACTGTAGGGTCGCATGCCAACTGCGTGGCGACTCAGCGATACGTAGCCATTTTTCTCATTTTGTTGAAAAATTAAAAATCAGGGCCTAAGCTTTTTTTGAATCAAATTGAATAGAAGTTTTTCTTCGCATCATGTTGAATATAATATTGACAGAATTCGATAGAAAGTTATTAATAAAAAGTGCTCTGGAAACATGGTGCGCGCTCCTTCGGCTTAAGCGCGGCTTACTGTCAGGTTTTAAAGACGCAATATGAAATTTGTAAAAGCCCGTGTGAGATGGAGCGTAGAAACCGAAAAAAAAATTGTACGTATAAAAAATTTACCGTTTTTATCTTCCATTTCCCGAATACTTGAAACAACGTGACATCCCCCTCCTCCTCTCTCAATTATTATCCCCGCTTCCTCCCAATTCCAAGAATTCCATATTCATTCCCTAAAATCAATCAATTCGAAGACACTAGCGTAAAATGCTCGGATCAAATCTCGGAAAGAAAGTGACGGCTGGCGTCGTTCAGGACCAATATAAACAATTTCTGAAGAATAAACCAGATGAGAAGAAGAAGGTGTTGACTCCCGAGGAGAGGAAACAGGCGAAGCGACAAGAGATGCGGAAGAAGGGGATCTTTGTGAAAGCAGATGATCCAGATGAGACACCCACTATCATGGAGAAGATTGAGGGGCCCATGCAGCCAATGGTTTATGTGTTGCCTGAGAAACCGACAGTCTGGAAGAATGCGAAGAAAAGAACGGGTGGAAGGAAGAATAAGGAGAAGAAGAAGAATGAGGCGGCGGCGAAGAAGCCTTATGAGAAGGTAGGTTTCTAGAAATTGGGCAAATACAGCAGATGCACCCCATTGACGATTACGTCCGTCACCTCCTCATGTCGCCGTGCCCTAGCTTTTTCAACGTACCGGACGGCGTGGTATATACTCAACTGCTATTTCTCAACTGCTATGGGGGTGATCAACTGCTATGCTGTAACTGCTACTGTCTCAACAGCTATATTTGGCTCTCCTGCTATGGATCACCTGCTGTACCCATAACAGTTGAGACAATAGCCATAGCAGTAGAGACATCAAAAGTGGCGAAAATAGCAATTGAACCATAGCAGAAGAGCCAAATATAGCAGTTGAGGCACTAACAGTTACAACATAGCAGTTGATCACCCCCTCATAGCAGCAGATTCCTTAACAGTTGAGTATTTACAAGCAGATGATAATGCGCTCCATTGACAATTCCGTTCGCCCCTGTCTTCATGGCCTAGCCCTAGCAGAAGGCGTTGTCAATGGAGCGCGTTGTCATCTGCAACATGTTTGGCAGTACAAGAGGCAAGTTGGTGGACAAATAGCCGGAAAATTTTGCTGTAAAGCATAAAGAGCCGCAAATTTTGTCGAAAAGACGACCTGATTGAGTTATCCGCAACCGACTTATAGCTCAAGGGCAGCAAATACTCAAGTGCTATGAAGTGATCAACTGCTATATGCCAATTTTCCTAAACTTGGCTCATGTGCTATGGATCAACTGCTATTTTGGCCGTTTTTCTAGACTCTGGTGCTATGATATTGGATCATGTGCTATTAATCATGACTCGTGTGCTATAATATAGCACAAGAGCCATAGCACAAGAGTCATAGCACATGAGAAAATAGCACAAGAGCCAAGTTTGGGAAATTTGGTATATAGCACTTGATAACTTTGTAGCACTTGAGTATCTACCTAAAATGCCGTGCTTTTTGTCAAAAAGACGGTTCGACTAAGTTAACAGCCATCGACTAATAGCTCAAGGGCCCTGCCATTCTGACGGGCCCGACTGATCCCGACTTGTGAGCCAGGATTTGCTCCGCTATCACTGGGCTAGCTCTCAATCTCGCAAATATGCAGACTAAAAATCTTAAGCACCGCCCTATCCCAGTATGTCCTACCAATAATTTCCAACTTCCAGCTCCCCAAATCCGACGTCTCCATCAGCTCGGGCCCTCAAAAGAAGAAGGTCAAGAAGGAGAAGAAGATCCCAACTACAATCAGCTCCCTTCCATCAACTTCTTCATCTGGAACCGACCAATCCTCTGTTTCGAAGAAGAATAAGTCGGCAGGTTTAGAATTGCTCAGTCCAGGGCTGTCAACATGGCGGAGTCACGGTGACCTAACAGCCCTGGTAGAGGTTCCTAGGCCGCGGCCATCGTTTTGACAGCCTTGAATACCAAGTAACGCAATCTTTCACTTTTCAGAAAAGTCCACGAAAGAACCTGAAGCCCCTGTGAAACCAAAGGTGTCAAGTAAAGAGCCAATTGTTGTGGAGAAGAAGAAGGATGAAGCAGTGGTGATGGAAAAAAAATCGGAGGAGAAGATTGCAGAAGCTCCAAAAGAGCCGGAGCAGGTGAAAGTTGCAGAGCCACAGAAGGTGGAGGAGGTTACGCAGAAGGGAGAAGGGAATAAGGTAAGCTCGGCTGCTGGTGCGCCGGAGGCGCGCCAAGAAGTCTAGAACAGTCTCCGGAAGCGTCATGACTATTTCAAGAAAAAGAAAAAATATTTGACCACAATGGGGTTCGAACCCGCGTTGAACATTTCCAAAACGGAAGCGCTAACCGCTAGGCCACGGGTGCAACAACCATTTTTAAGGAGGAGGGCATAGAGAATACTGCGGCTTTTTTTCTCTTTTCAGGCTGCAACCGAAGCCTTGTGGGGGGGGGGGGGGGGGGAGTTGAACTTGGCTGCTGGTGCGCCGGTGGCGCGCCGAGAAGTGTCTAAAACAGTCACCGGGAGCGTCATGACTATTGTAAGAAAAAGAAAAAAAAATTGACCCCCATGGGGTTCGAACCCGCGTTGAGTATTTCCAAATCGGGAGCGCTAACCACTAGGCCGCTGGTGCAACAGCCCAAATGGAGGAGGGGCATAGGGAATACTGCGACCTTTCTTCTCTTCTCAACCCACAAGCTTACCGTAAAAGACGCATTGTTTAGAGCAGCATATCTCGGCTGCCTTCAAAGCTATCAAAAAGTAGTCAACTGAAGAAATGTTAAACACAACATTTTGAACATTTTACTAGTTGACAGTTTTTTGATAGCTCTTGAGATAACTGAGATACGCGGCTCTGAACCTGAAGCTTCAATTTTTTTCAGGCCATCCTACCATCCTATGAACCTCAAACCACTGCCACCGCTCTCCCGTCAACCCTTCCATCTCCGGACACCATGACTCCGCCCACTTCTCAGGCTCCGCCTACTTCTCAGGCTCCGCCCACTTCCAGCAAGGACTCTTCCACCAAAGAATCCGAAAGCAAGGATCTCCCGGTGCCCCTCACCTCAACCGCCTCGAATCCATCGATGGTTGACTCCCAGAAGAAGACAATCTCAGCTCCGATAGCCGAAAATCAACGGGACGCATTCGAGAAGTTGGATGACGACGAATTTGAAAAGATGACGTCGGATGCAGATGAGAAAGAGATTCTGAAACTGGCGCCACGCCTTCTGAAAGTGGCAAAGAAGCACGCGGCGATTGAGAAGTGTTTGACGGCTGAGGAGAATGAGGTGCTCGCGAAATTCTTCTCGGGAAAACAGAAGCTCGATGCGTCGGTGTTGGCGGTTTTGGATTCGGCACTCGACAAGATTATCGATTATTTGCAAAAGAATAATTGTGCGATTGATGAGGAGACGAAGGCGGTGATGAAGAAGAGGGATAAGTTGAAGGCGGCGATGATGAAGGAGTTTTTGGTGTCACCACAATATCTTCCGAAGACTTGGACTGCTAAGTTTAATGGTAAGCGGGCAAACGCGCTCTAATGCGAATATCACGTGTTTTGGAGGCAATTCAAAATTTCTATTTGCTCTTTTGATGAATTTCCGGAATTTTTTTGACACAAAACAGAACAATTAGCGTAAAGTGCTAATTTTCGACAAAACAAAACTTTTAGTTATTCAAAAATGGGGGTTTTTCTTTCAGTTTGACAAAAAATATTTTCCGAAAAAAATTATGAAAATCGATAAAAAAGTATACAAAAATCGATTAAAATTTCTATTTTTCCGAAAAAAAAAATCAAAAAATCGATAAAAACATCGTCTTCATCATATGCGGCGCAGCGGAAATTTGAATCGCCGCGCAATTTCACTGGTAAGCAAGCGAGCGCGCTCCGCTGCGAATATCTCGATATTCGGAGGCAATTCAAAATTTCTACTGATTAAATTCGCCCTTTCTGATGAAATTCCGGATTTTTTTTCGACGAAAAACAGAATAATTAGCACAAAATGTTCATTTTGACAGAAGTTTATTTTTGAAAGCTTCAATTTTTTTAAAATTGATTTTAAAAAAATTTTATTTTATTTTCCCCAAAAAAATCCAAAAAGTCGATAAAAAATCATTTTTCCGAAAAAAAATTACAAAAATCGATAAAAACTAGACGTTTTTCCGAAAAACAAATCACGAAAATCGATTAAAACGAAATTTTTCCGAGAAAAAATTACAAAAATCGATTAAAAAATCATTTTTCCGAGAAAAAATTACAAAAATCGATAAAAACTAAGTTATATCTAGCTACGTATCGCCTTAACCATACGCTGCGGAGCAAAATTATGAATTGCCGCGCAAATTCAATGGAGCGCACTTGCTTGAAAAGGGCGCGCCAGTGATTTTTGAATTCCCGCCCGATCTTCAACTATTTTTTTTTCCACAGAATGGAAATCGGAAGCGGAAAAGCAAAAGAATGGAATCAACTGGTTCCGTGTCTTGTTCTCCTACCCGAAACATAAGTCGTTTGATGATGGACCAGAGGATACTTGTAAGTCTCGCTAGCTCTGTTTGTCCGGATGTCCACAACAAAAATTTTAAGTCGGAAACTTCCGCCGTCATAATCGTGGTCTCCTGATGAGTCTTCTCTTGGGACCCGGTGATGTGAAGTCGTTTGAGGAGACGAAGCGGGAGGAGGATTGCCAGGTATTTCAGAATTTGTTGTCCTAGCCAATGGATTTTGTTACAGGGAATGTTCTTGGACACGAAAATTATTGAGAATGCCACCAAGGATGCCAAGGACACTAGCTCGACGATTAGTGAGCGGCACACTTTACTCACTGCGAAAAGTTCCAAAAAGAAGTTGAACTGAAATGTGTAGAATGAAGGATATTCATGCGTGAAATGGTACCATATTTGGCATGTGGTCATGGGTCATCGAGCGCTTCAATTCTACAACGCTTGGTGCTCGGGTTACTGTAGGGATACGGTAGCTACAGTTACCAGATAACAGTACAATACCTTGAAAACGGGTTCCCAGTGGTCAAATTTGTCCCATTTGTAGCATGAAGCACACATGTGACGTCAATAGCACACAAACGAAAACGGTGAAGATTAGTGTTGGATTACGGTAGTGACAGTATTCTGAAAACACCACAGGCAAGCCCTAGATAGATAACTTTCCAGAAAATTCTCTTTCTTTCCAGAAACTTCTAGAAACTTCCAGAAACGTCAGAGCATTCATCGTTTATGGCGGGACTTCAATTTTTTAAAGTGTATCATTTCAGGAAACGGCTTAGATACATCATTGCATCTGAATCTTATAACAAAACAATGAAAATCATGCAAAAAGAATTTCATTGAAGTCTAGAAGGCGCATGAATCGCGGCTGTGAAACGACCTGCGGCGAGTTCTGCCGGAGCTTTGTAAACCATAAAAAATATAACTTTTATTAGGCAACATTTATTTTCAAAACTAGTTAAATCGGAAATTAACAAATAACACACTGATTCTGTTCCCTGTTCAGCCCGGATGGCCAACCGCCCAGGCCAATTGAAAATACATCTGAACGCGTTGATGTGAAAGTTCCCAGACCAGTTGAACGTTCATTCGAACGCGGTGATGTGTCGTTGTGGTTAGTAATAAATTTTAGACTCTCTGGGTCTCTTCCAAAGATGTCACGTGAAAAGAGGAATGGTGTACTTCTTGTCTGCGAGTCTCTATCCGCCCCTCCGACTGTTCCTCCGACTACCTCATTTTGTACACGACTAGATACATGTGTGTCGGATGTCCCAATTAAATCGAAATCCCTCTTGAAATCTTCGACTCTTATAGTTTCCGAAGTCGTTTTCATCGGATCTCTAACACAGATCAAGTCTTCGTTATTCGAACTGGTCACTCCAATCACAGCGAATCCTTTTCCATGTTCTCCATTGTTCCCGTTTGAATGTTTTGTATGCACCATTAGAACTGTCCCGTATTAGAACTTTCCGGATCAGAACCGGGCCATATTCAAGCTCCCAGTTGCGACTCGAGGCTTAATTTTTGTACAGAATATGACATTGTGGATCTAAACATTTCCTCAATTTTTCGAGTTACTAGATACTTCGAAAGGACCCGGTTCTAATCCGGCCAGTTCCAAAACGGGTCAGTTCTGATGCGGCCAGTTCTAATGCTACCCCGCATTCTCACTTCACCAACTCACTTTGCATAAGCCTTCTCCAAAAGTGGACACCAAAATCTGTTTTTCGGAGCTTGTGCGAAGACGAGTTTTCCATTTCTGGTTGGCAATAAATCATTAATTCTCACTCTAACTGTTTCCCCATCCTTCTTGTAGAAAGCGTACTCCAAGATACCTAAATTTCGTTTTTTAATTAAATATTTCAACGAGGAAATTCAAAATTACCGTCTCTCCAAACTCCTTTAAAACTCCGGACACAATCGTTCTTGGCGTTGATTAGAGAAACGACTCCAGTAAGGAAAAATCCGCCATGAAATCCTCCAATGACGTCTTCCATTCTGGGGGGTTCAAGGGAACTTGCAAGAAAAGAAAATAGGCCATTTGAAAATTCACGAGTAGAACGCCAGGTAACACCTTCGTTCTTCAAGACGGGGGGAAGGCTGTCATCACTCTCAAACATATTTAATGGAAGAATATGGAGACTGACCACTTTTTTCTTATCTTTTGAATTATCAAGTTTTCTCTCTCGTACTATTTTCTATTCATATTTGTGTTTCTCGTTTTACACTGAGCAAAATTTATCAAAAAATGTTTAGTCTATCGAGAAAATGGCGTGTTTTCCAAACATGGGCAGCAGTGTGATAATGCAGCACGTGAATTTTTTGCTTCTCCGGTGGAAAATTTTCAGCACGTGCACTATTATGTAGTATGTAGCTGCCGCGGACTTCTCTAGGTAACACGTGGGTTCGAAAGGCCAGATTCTATAGAATTTAGTAGAGAAAAACAACGGAAAATAAGGAGGTTGACCTGAAAATCGAATTTTAATTCAAATTTGTCAGGGCTAATTAACACTAGTTTTTCTTGTAGAGAAACAACTTTGAACCCACGTAGCATGGCCTAGAATAGTCCATAGCAATTAAGAATTAAATAACCGTGCACGTGTTGTCCTCAGCTATTCAGCGGCACCATTCGCTTTCTGAAAGTCGCACCATTGATTTGCGACGAAAAATTTATCCGAAGACCGGAAATTCCGTTTTCTGATATCGAGCCAGCCTGATCACGACCTAGTAAACCACTAACCCTTGCTTCTTGCAGTAAATTCCCCTATACTCCTTTGTCCTGTTCGCAAAAAAGGAAGGCACAAGTTACATGAAAGCGCTAATTGACATTTTAGTCCATTTTGATAATCACGGAGTTGATGGA